TGTGTGTGTGTGTGTGTGTGTGTGTGTGTGCCTGTGTGTGTGTGTGTGTGTGTGTGTGTGTGTGTGTGTACACATGTACATACATCTCTCCACAGGCTCTAAATGCACTAGACCAGTGTTTCTCAACCAGGGGTCCGTGGACCCCTAGTGGTCCTTGACGTAAGGCCAGGGGGTCTGTATAAAGTATGAATTTTTGTATAAATTTTGTATATTTTGACATGACATGTTACCATGAAAGAAAAATCCAATATAGCTGATGATATGGCCAAATACTGGACAAGTCAACTAACTTGAATTATACTTGACTACATTTGGTCCTCACAAAGACATACATAGATGAGTCAATTTTGTTCTGGGGGTCCTTGAGGATGGTTCTGAATTGGACTGGGGTCCGGTACGCCAAAAGGTTGAGATTCACTGCACTAGACAATGGCTTCAGCATGCATCACGTCTACAGTTTGACAGCTCGGAGCAGCGGCATTCTCACCTTTCAGCAGGTGTGTCAGGCTCTATAAAGCGAACACAGGCAGGCGCTGACAGCGGTTCTGTAGCAAACACTCCCCCCTGTAACTGCAGGCCGAATCCAGAAAGAGGATCTCCTCTCAGAAGCACCTCACTGGTTTCTATATGCACCACCTGACCTCCGGCGCCCACTGTACTCGTCGCCAGAGACACTGAGAGAGAATGTTTCATATGTTTAATATTGAATCAAATTCAATCATTATTTGACATACAATAATGCAAAGTGAAGCTAAAAACCCTTAAAGCAGCACTATGGTGACGACCCGACCAGGCTACAATAGTTCGAATATAAGTACTTATTATAAGTGTACCGTAGTGATTCGGAATAAGACAAAAACGCGGTTTGGAAGATGAATTCATGATGTACTCGCTCATTATATACATTTTGTAAATTTTGAACACAGAAAAAGTTACATAGTGCTGCTTTAATCATGGTTTAAAAAACAAAACAAAAAAAACACTGATGTCCAACCTTTTCTTTTTTGTGTTTTACTTTTTTATATTCTTTAACAACATTGTAAGACGTTATTCAACAATTAAAACATTAAATATACACAAAGAAATGATGATGATAAATTAATAATGATAGATAAATACTGTAGATTAACAATCAAACAAACAGTTCTTCCCATGTAATATTGTTTATTACAATTTTAATATGGTTTTTAATTGTAATATTGCATGACTAGCAACTTGGGGCATTAATATAGAAAGTATATTGGCTACTTTTGTGTCGCTCTTATAATACTGGATATCATTCAGCATTATTATTCATATTAAAAATGTATATTATTTTAATTTCTTTTACATTCTGCAATAACATTATGATTAAAAAACACTATTCAATAAATAAAATCTTCAATAATAATAATAATAATAATAAACAAATAACTCTTCTTCCCCCAAGTAATATAGTATATTAGGGATATTAATACAGAAAAAAATATTATATTTTAGTGTTTCCCAACCTGGCCATAATTACAATTGTTCACTTTTAAAATGATTCATTACAAACAAATTATACTATAGGTGACTCACCAAGTAGTGTTTGCCTTTGAGATGCTTTTAGGTTTTACCATTTCTGGGGGCAACTGGAGAAACTTTTTTTTAAAGAAAGTCTTAGCTGTCTTAGCTCATTTATTTATGAATTAAATTAATTTAAATTCATCATTTCTTTTATAATTTTAAAGCAAATGTTAAATTTGGAAATGTTTGAGTTGAAAATCACTCAGATATTTTACTCTACATAAACATGGTTAAAGACTGCTGGAATATCCATATTATATTATCATACTGTATATAACATTATTATTTTCATATAAATAGTTTTTCTTTTTGTCTAGATGTCAGAAACAGTCACATTAAACGAGAGATAGCGATACTAAACTGGACGTAAGCTGAAAGGCAGAGATGAGACATAAATCTGTATATGAATGCGCTCACAGGAGCTCTTGTGGTCTCTTCTCCTTTGTCTCCTCTTGGTGGCGGTGCAGCGAGGGCTGGATGGGTAGGAGGGCAGGGTGCTGCTGGGGAAGGTGTTGGGGTACGTCGACTGGGTGCTACAGCTGTAACTGTGAAAGCCTGATGTGTTTGCAGATATGCCAGACGTCACAGCTGGAGGAGAGAAGATTTGAGATCGACAATGCTGGAATCACCATGTGTAATTGGCGTATGGCTATATGTGGAATGGAATACTAACATACCGTTAGTATGCAGCATGAGTGACAGTTATTTAAATTATTGTAAATCTGCTTTGAAACAGCATCGACTGCAAAAATGGGAACACAAATAAATATATTCCTTGACTTTGTCTGAAAATTGTTTAAAAAAATAAAAATAAGAATGAAAAGTAGTAGATGAATGAATAAAAATAAAAATAAAGAAATAAAGTAAATAAAACATACATTTATAAAAAAAAAGATTAAAACAATACATTTAATAAGTATATAAAATTAATAAATAAAAAGGAAAATAAAGTGAATAAAAATAAATAAAATTTCAAATAAGAAAGAAAAATAACAAAAAGAATAATGAAAATAAAGTAAATAAAAATGAAAATAAATTAAAGTGAATATGTAGATACAATTGAAAAAATAAATGAAAGAAAGATAATTAATAATGAAAATAAAGTAAAAAATTAATACAAATGAAAAGAAAGAAAAACATAAATATGTGAATATGTAAATAAAAATGAACAAATAAATGAAAATGAAAAGAAAGAAAGAAAGAATATAAATGGGTAAATATGAATAAGTAAAAATCAAAAATTAAGAAAAATATAAATAAACAATGAAAAATTTTAAAAACATGAATATAGATTAAAAAAATGAAAAATAAAAAATAATTAAACAAAAAGTTAAAAAGCAAATAAAATCATTATTAATGGACGATATTACTTCCAATTAATCTACCACACAGTAGGTAATCCAGGTATTCCACTCATACAGACAGTTTGCACCCTGTGCACAGTATGCATGCTACAAAAATAGTTAAGTGCATTAAAATGCTTAAAGGGTTAGTTCACCCAAAAATGAAAATTAGGCTGTGTTTTACTCACCCCCGAGGCATCCTAGGTGTATATGACTTTCTTCTTTCAGATGAATCCAGTCGGAGTTATATAAAAAAGTGTCTTTGATCTTTCAAGCTGTTTCATGGCACTCATGGTGTTGCATGCATTAGTCCAAAAGCACTTAATTAAAATGCGCACAAATCCTCGTTTTGTACTTTTAATTCTTGACTGTTGTTTTGTTTTGATCTCTCCGCTGTGTTTCTGCGTGTGTCACTTCTGAGCGGCGCATGCGCAAAGCTGACCTCATACGTCATTCCCCCGGAACTGCTTCCGTGTACAACAGTGAGCACAGGCTAGAATAGAGGGATTATTACGTTTTGAATATGGATATTTTTCTTACAAAAACGCATCGATTCGCTACAGGAGGCCTTTGTTCACCCTGCCTCGGGGGTGAGTAAAATGCAGCCTAATTTTCATTTTTGGGTGAACTAACCCTTTAATGATATGCTTAAAATACTTAACCGCATCATTACATCTCGTTTCTATATTTAATGCACAGTTCATTATGAAGACACAGGACATGCACACAGGAGACACTCACATCGGTGTGAGGGTGTAGGGGTGGTGTGACTCCAGGCCGAGGGTGTTTTTTGGAAAGGTGGAGGAGCGCTGATGTAGTTGTCACTAGAGTCCCACTGACGCTGACTACTCCTCTGGACACGTACTGCAGGGAAAACACAGAGACACACAAAATGGGCAGTAAATGGGTTATTTCCGCTGAAAACAAGCTTATGTTACAGCACTCAGGCTGATATGCGCCTGCAGAAAGATCTGATGTGAACTGATCCACACTGCTTCACTGATGATCATTGACATTCACAGGGCCGAGTCAGAGACGCTGCTCACAGGCACGCGTTTCGTTCACTCCTTCACATGCAGCACATTTATTCCCTCCATTGCTTTTTCTCTCTCTTACATTTCCGGGCCAGCTCTAGTAAGGCTGACAGCAATGGAGGAACCATCTTAAACTCTCTCTTCACTCATGATTAGAACAAATGCTCTGCAAGAAAGAAAGAGGACATTGTTTTGGATTCTGACAGAAATGGCTCCTTGTGACACTAAGCAGCTGTCTCACTAACGATGCTTAATTAGGCATGCATCGTGTCACGCTCATCAGACCAGCTGTTTAGACAGAGATAAATCTGCACTTCAAAGAGCTCCTGTGCCTTGTACTACACTGTAGTATTCAGTGCAGTAAGCCCTTGTTTGTATATTGCACATTTTGGCAAAATGTTGTATCTAGAATGTAGTAGCATGTAAAGAGTATGGTAGTATGCTATTGCAAACATAGCCAAAGTAAAGCTGCTTGTGAATCAATTCTACCAGACATGTCTAGATTATCTAAGCTTGTGAATATCAGTCACTATGGGTCTTTGAGTTTGTTTATGAGCTGTATGTGACCGTGAGTGTCTGCAGACCTGTATCATGTGAGCAGTGTTGAGAGGGCAGGATCTCTAGTTTGGTGAGCTCTGAGGAGCTGGACAGGAGCTGCTGAGCCTCCATCAGAGAGCAGTGCTCTGTGCTCATGCCATCTATAGCCAGGAGAATATCTCCCACATGCAAAGCACCACATCTGAGGGAAAGAGGGAAAGACGGCAAGAGAGAAAAAGACAGCGGTGGTAACAAGTTGAGAAAGTCATTTGTGTGGAGCAAAGCAAGAAAAGGGGTGAAAACAGTCACAACAGATGGGAAGGTGTGAGGAAAAAAAAAAGAGACAGCAAGAGAAGAGGATAGCTAAATATGTATATGTACGAAGAATTATGTGAGAATACTTTCATGCTAATTAAAATAAATAATCCAGTTTTTATTGCATGTGGATATAAAAGTAGCTGTGAGGAGCGTATCTGCAAACACAAGGTGACAAACAAAAATAAAATGCACATACTGTAAAGATTTGTCATGCCTAGAGAGCAGGGGAATGATGGGAGATATGATGCAAATATAATATTTATTTATTTGTTTCTTTGTTTATTTAATAGGGACAATAAACATTAATGCACCTTATAATCAGTATAAAATAAAAAGCATAAAGTACATAATATCGTATAATATAAATATAAAAATAAATATATGTTAATTTATTGTAGACAATATTTATTTAAAATTATAAAAATTCTCAAAAAATATTTGACTATAAGATGTGCATTATTGCTGTATGAAGCTGTCAGTTTATCTTGGAACCATAAAGCTGCTGATAATCGAATCAAATATGAACCAAGTGACCACATACTGACAGAACAATATGCTTGGCTGATTTATTAATCCATCACTCTTGTAAAATTACTCTGTTGGATCAGCTAAATAATTATTTAGAATGAAATTACTGTCCATGCTTTTGTACATATTTAATTTATTAAGGTATTTGTGTAGGTGATTCTTTACATGTCTGTTTGGCTCTAAATTTGTGCGTGCATTTGGGTGTTCTCACCTGTCCGCAACACTAGCAGGTTTGATTTTCTGGATTGTAATGACCTGTTTGTTCCTGTAGAGGGAGGTAGTGAGACTGAGTCCCAGTACTGAACCTGCGGAGTGGGCAATGTCCACCTGGAGTGGCCCAGACAACTTCTGGACTGAGTCTGCCATGAGGTCAAGCCGGAACCAGAGAGAGACAGAAAAGAGTAGGGGATATTACATTTTAATTCAGATATGTACAAAATATCTGAAGGAAGCTTTAATCTCATTGCCTTCCAGGAGAAAAGACAGAGATCTCATTGGTGCTTTGTCTTTCCTATGGGAATCTAGAGGGAAGTAGAATATGTTTCTACTCTAATTAAGGCCACATGAGAATATCTGTGCATACAAGCGCATGTCTTTGTGCCTGCTCACCCATGACCATGATGTCGTACTCGATGAGGAAGAAAGCCTCCTGGCTGCTCTGCATGATCAGGGTCAGAGCGTCAGCATGTTTCTGTCTGTTCACAGCAACACCGTTCACGCTCAACACTCGGTCGCCCGCTCGCAGGGTACCCTCTCTGGCAGACGGAGAAACATGGAGAGACGTACGGAAACATAAAACGACAGCAACAGAGATGAGAGGTGAATGCAGACGTGAATGCTAAAATAAAACAGTTCCACCAGGATTTCATGATTTTTTATGATCAAAATGACTGATTTTGTGGTGTAATTTTAAGCATTTCACGGAAATTGTATGATTTATTTTTATAATTAGGATACCACATTTACCATGTGTATGACACTAAAAAGCTTATCAAATTCTGACCAATTTTAAATTAGATTTTTGTAAAAATTAAAAATAAGAACAAAGAAGCAAATTACAAACAACAGAACAAAGATGAATGAACTAAAAAGAATGCTTTACATTTTTCATGGAGGTTTAGTATTCAGGTACAAAACACTCATCCAACATGTAGATGTTGTTTGTTTCTTCATGGGAATAAATTTGGAGAAATGTAGCATTGCATCACTTGCTCACCAATGGTCCTCTGCAGTGAATGGGTGCCGTCAGAATGAGAGTCCAAACAGCTGATAAAAACATCACAATAATCCACAAGTAATCCACACCCCTCCAGTCCATCAGTTAATGTCTTGTGAAGTGAAAGGCTGTGTATTTGCAGCAAATACATCATCATTACGTACAACAAACAAATCATAACTAACAAATCCATCAAGACGTTTAAACCATCTCGCACACTATGTCCTGCACTAAGGTTAACCGTTAATCTTAAACCGTCACTTCTGGCCAAAATACGAGTCCATTATCCATAATAATGCTTTCTCCAGCGAAAAAGTCCATCCTCTGTTGTCCTCTCACATCAAAATCCAACAAATTCGTTTAGAACTGCTTTGGACTGTTTTTGCTTGTAAATAGCGATAAAGCAATATTATGGATAGAAGACTAATTTTTGACTTGGGAACAACGGTTTGAAGTTAAAATGTCTTAATCATGGATTTGATTATTACAGACCCACAGTTTTTCACTTCACAAGACATTCATTGGTGGACATGAGTGGTGTGGATTACTTGTGGATTATTGTGGTGTTTTTATCGGCTGTTTGGCCTCTCATTCTGATGGCACCCATTCACTGCAGAGGATCCATTTGTGAGCAAATTCTCCAAATCTATTCCCATGAAGAAACAAGCAACATCTACATCTTGAACTATTCCTTAAATAACTCTCTTTACCATCAAGCATGTCACACTTTTTATTTTCTCATTCATGCATGTTTCTTTATCAGACTAATGTGTGTACAGACGAATTACGCAGAAACACAAAAATGCTGATTTTGCTGAATCGTGAAAGACTGGAGGTACTGATATAAGTGTTGTTTTGCATGAACAATACGCATTGTGGAAGTGTAATTATTATGCTAATCTAATTCACATTAAAGCAAGAAGTTGAAACAGGAAGCGTTCATATGCATGTGTTTCGTCTGCTCTTCTGTGTGTGTGTGTGTGTGTGTGTGTATTCTTCAGGCTGTGTTCTACCCTTCTCACTCATTCTAATGTCATCAGCCTATATGCTTCAGTTAACGTGTGCCTGCAGAACCAGCTTACAGGGTTCAACGATCACACATACAACATACAGACTGCTCCCATAATCTACACCAAATACAAAACATCTCATACACAGATACACAAAAACTCTATTACACCAATATATACACAAATAACCTACCGAATGCATGCAGACAGCACTGATGTGACACACACAGAGGCAGAGAGCTTCACGATGATTCAGACATTCTGCTAATTAATAAACAGAGATGTTCTAAAGGACCTCATGTCTCACACACACCAATGATTTGAGTCTTCGTGGTCTCACCTGTCTGCGGGTCCGCCGGGCCTGACGTAGGTCACTACTAGAGGTCGAGCCTTATGCCAGTCCTCATGAAAGCCCCCTGAAAGCATGTGAAACACACACCTGACATGTCAAGCCAATTGCCTTTAGTCATAAAATGCAGCTGAACACACACACACACACACACACACACACACACTCCTGCTGCCCTTGAGAGAAATATCACACAAATGTAAAAAATTTAAAAAATTTAAAATAAATGTTTCCTTTTCCCTCAGTTTGTAAAAACAAGTAAAATATGCACAGTGCTGAAGTAGTATTGAAAGGATTCCCAAATTTTGTCAAACCAGACCATTTTAAATCTAAAATATTTTCTTTAAGTGTCCCCTGAGATTTTAAGGTAATATTGAAATAATAAAAAATGAATGAAAAAAAAAGAAGAAAAAAAAAATAATACAACAAAACATTTACATGTTCATGGTTTTCTGCTGTTAGTTAGAGGTCACATGACATGCAGAAAATCATTTCTTTAGTAAGTTAGATGTTTTTATATGAAAATTATTAATTTATTTTAATTTGACATTTTTATGATTATATTAATTATTAGCACAACACCCACGTAGTTCCCTCATGAACCCGTTTTGGGAAAAACTGTTGTAATGAACCTGGAATATTCTTTGTGATATAATTAAATATATATATATATATAGTTTGATTTCAAACCATCACTGATGTAATTTTCCTCAGTTTTAAATTCATAACATCATTTAAAGTTAAAAACACATGTAAAGACATTTCAAGGCGTCTGATGGTGGTTCGGTACCTCTCAGAACGAAGCCAAAGCTGTTTCCTTCTTTTTCCAAGCACACTTCGATAGTTTTAGAGATGACGCTACAGGGACTGCTGGGAGCTAAACACACAGAGAACAGCTTGTGTTAATGTCACAGGAGGATAAGATACAGCACTACAGACTGAAATATTTTTACTTTAACAAGACCATAAACACTAATGCCACGTATTTGTCACATATTACTTGAGAACTCTGATGAAATGGCTTTTACATATTCAGTTCTGTTGAAGTACTACTGTACCGTGATCAGAGGTATACACACACTCCTGCTGCCCTTGAGAGAAATATCACACAAATGTAAAAAATTTTAAAAATTTAAAATAAATTTTTCCTTTTCCCTCAGTTTGTAAAAACAAGTAAAATATGCACAGTGCTGAAGTAGTATTGAAAGGATTCCCAAATTTTGTCAAACCAGACCATTTTAAATCTAAAATATTTTCTTTAAGTGTCCCCTGAGATTTTAAGGTAATATTGAAATAATAAAAAATGAATGAAAAAAAAAGAAGAAAAAAAAAATAATACAACAAAACATTTACATGTTCATGGTTTTCTGCTGTTAGTTAGAGGTCACATGACATGCAGAAAATCATTTCTTTAGTAAGTTAGATGTTTTTATATGAAAATTATTAATTTATTTTAATTTGACATTTTTATGATTATATTAATTATTAGCACAACACCCACGTAGTTCCCTCATGAACCCGTTTTGGGAAAAACTGTTGTAATGAACCTGGAATATTCTTTGTGATATAATTAAATATATATATATATATAGTTTGATTTCAAACCATCACTGATGTAATTTTCCTCAGTTTTAAATTCATAACATCATTTAAAGTTAAAAACACATGTAAAGACATTTCAAGGCGTCTGATGGTGGTTCGGTACCTCTCAGAACGAAGCCAAAGCTGTTTCCTTCTTTTTCCAAGCACACTTCGATAGTTTTAGAGATGACGCTACAGGGACTGCTGGGAGCTAAACACACAGAGAACAGCTTGTGTTAATGTCACAGGAGGATAAGATACAGCACTACAGACTGAAATATTTTTACTTTAACAAGACCATAAACACTAATGCCACGTATTTGTCACATATTACTTGAGAACTCTGATGAAATGGCTTTTACATATTCAGTTCTGTTGAAGTACTACTGTACCGTGATCAGAGGTATCAGGTAAAAAATACTTTTTTAACTATCTTCAACATTTATAATAATCAAAATTCTCAGAAAGTCAGAATATTAGAATGATTTCTGAAGGATCATGTGACACTGAAAACTGGAGTAATGATGCTGAAAATTCAGATTTGATCACAAGAATAATGTACATTTTAACATATATTCAAATAGAAAACAGTTATTTTAAATTGTAATGACATTTTGCAATATTACTGTTTTTACTGTATTTTTGATCAAATAAATTCAGTTTTGGTGAGCATAAGAGACTTCTTTCAAAAACATTTAAAAATCTTACTACCCCAAACGTTTATTCAACAGGAGACTGGAGTGAATGTGAATGTATTTGTGTCCGTACCGAATGGCGGCAGCTCGTACTCCACCTCCAGCACCACACGCTCACCGATGTTCTTCAGCATGCTGATGATCTCATCATGTCTGAGTTTGGATAGGTTTATGCCGTTCACTGACTTTATGTAGTCCCCACCATTGAGTTGGTCACTCCTGCCACACAGACACGCATAAGGAAAACTGAACAATGCAGTGATACATTTTGGTAACATGTTTCTGTTTAATATGTCTGGGGAAAAGTGTACAGAAACAGTAGAGCATGGCACTAGAAATGCCAAGGTCATGGGTTCAATTAACAGGGAATGCAAGAACTGAAAAAATTGCATAAGTGCAAAAAAATAATAAAATAAATAAAAAATGCAAAAGAAGTTGCTTTGGATAGAAATGTCCGCTAAATGTATAAATGTAAAAGTAGATTCATACAGGTGGATATTTATCTTTTACAAATACATGAAAAAGGTCACATTTATAGTATGTAACCTACATGTTGTCCCTTTAATTCTATTTCAAATAAATTATGTTCTTTTAAACTTTCTATTCATTAAAGAACCCTATAAAAAATGTATCACCGTTTCCACAAAAATATTAAACCACACAACTGTTTTCACCATTGATAATAATCAGAAATGTTTCTTGAGCATCAATTCAGCATATTAGAATGATTTTAGGATCATGAAATTATGCTTTACATCACAGGAATAAATTACATTTTAACATATATTAAAATAGAAAACAGTTATTTGAAGTTGTAATAACATTTACTGTTTTTACTGTATTTTTTATCAAATAAATGAATAAATCTTTCAAAAACCAACCACATACGGAAAGGTAGTGTATGAAAATCTATTATTGGTAATGACATCACTATAAAAGATTCTTATAGGCTGTAACTCTGTCATTCACAGATCTAAATCCAAAGCACAAGATTAATTCCATATAACATGCTGCACTGATATGAAGACTGCACAATCTGCTGCAGAAAGGTGCGTTGTGCAGCAGGCATGTGCAGTGTGCGAGTGTATATACAGTGGGTACGGAAAGTATTCAGACCCCCTTAAATTTTTCACTCTTTGTTATATTGCAGCCATTTGCTAAAATCATTTAAGTTAATTTTTTTTCCTCATTAATGTACACACAGCACCCCATATTGACAGAAAAACACAGAATTGTTGACATTTTTGCAGATTTATTAAAAAAGAAAAACTGAAATATCACATGGTCCTAAGTATTCAGACCCTTTGCTGTGACACTCATATATTTAGTATGTGTGATGTTAGCAGAGCTGACTCCTCATGTACTGTTGTAGAAGCTAATTTAAGCCGCTGCTGTCATCCAGTGCTGGGATTTTGCCTGTAAGCATCGCATTAGCTTAGACAACAGCACACGCTCGGAACCGATACAATGACAACACACAAAAGTCCCATCATTTTGTGATTCTGCATAATTATGCAGTGGAGTTAAACGGCATTAACGCGCATAATAATTACACACTCGCACATCTGCACTAGAGCTTCTGAAACTGATAAAACCATTAGCTGTAAACTTAAATACAGGGTCATACGTTTAAATCACCTGGCTGCAAAACAAACGTTTGCAACTCTGCATTCAGCAACATGCACACACATCAGTCCTGCGGCTGCCTACAGGTCAGCGCAACCATTCAACTAAAATCTTCCTCGTGCGTGTGTGACGGAGAGAGAGCGGTCACGTTAGGCCTGCATCAGCCTGTCACACTAGAGGCTGATGTGATGGAGCAGCCCACATCCTGAGGTCACACACACACACACAGGAGCAGCCCAGATCCTGAGATTAAAGAACTGTGTGAGTAAACATGGTGCACCACACACACTACACCAGAGCTATTTTAGCATTACTGGGATACTATTATAGTTTTTATGAATATTTTGATTTAGTTTTTATTTTTATATTTTCCATTTTCATTTTAGTTTAAATTTTTGTATTTTTTATTAACATATTTTCTGGAAAATAAGTTGTACACACTACACCAGTGTTGATTTAGTATCATTAAGATACTATTATAGTTTTGATTAATATTTTGTATTAGTTTTTATTTGTACCGTTTTAATTTTACTTTAGGTTTTAGTAATTTTGTTGCATTTATGTCATTTTATTACCATATTTTCCAGAACATAAGTCGCCCACACTACACCAATGTTATTTTACTATCATTGGCATACTATTATAGTTTTGATGAATATTTTGTTCATTTTTAGTTTTATATTTTTCATTTTCATTTTAGTTTTCAGTAATTTTGTTGCGTTTTTGTCATTTTTATTATTATATTGTCTGGAAAATAAGTCCCACCAGATCAAAATTGCATTGTTGAGAGAAAAAAAAAATCAGTGTATGATAACATTCTACAATTACATTGATAAATAATGTAAAATAGCTGTAAATGGAACGTTTATCATTACATACATATCATTATAAACACTATAAATATGTATTTTAGTTTTTCTTACTCCATAACAAATCCTTTAAATTTACCAATATTCAGAACAGAACAGGAAGGAAAAATAATATAAAAGTATAAAACAGACTTATATAGTTGCATTTATTATAAACAACATTTGTCATAAATGCCACACCTACACAAATGTATTTAAAGCAAAACTGAATGTAATGGTGTGTGGCACAAATACAAATACAAAGTGCGCTTTGCATAAAATATATTTTTGCATAAAATAAAATATATATTTTTTTGTATTTTACTTGAACATATGAAGTTTTAAGTTAAGTTTAAAGGGGGAGTACAATGCTGTTTCATGCATTCAGAGTTGTTTACACTGTTAAAGAGTCGGATTCTCATGCTAAGCATGGACAAAATTTACAAAAAAAAAACAATTTGGACGTATGACGGAGTATTTCTGTACTAAAAAGCTTACTTCCGGGTTCGTACAAGTTTCGGAGAGTTTTTTTCGATCGTGGCTCTTCATGACGTAGACGAGGGTGGAATTCCTTATATGGGCATTTCTCCCGGAAGAACGCACCCGCGCACGCATCGACCAGAGTGAGAGCGAGATCGCGCCCATCAACGTGCTTCATCACGCGG